AGGTGTGTATAAGAGACAGGGACTACTGGCACCTGTTTATATACACCCCCTACCAAACCTCCTTCCCCACGCAACAGTAAAATTGGGTTCAGGACTGGCACTTGTTCAATTAATTCATTAAACTGTAAATCAAAGAACTTAGCCTAGATACTGCTTTATATACTGGTGATTTAAATAGTTATTACATGGAATTGAGCCTTAGAATTGCATCTACTAGGCCCTACTAACACTAGATCGCTCCCGCGATCACATGGCTCACTGGCGGCGAGCTGTGTCGCAGTTGATGCCTCACCACTCAGGTCATGAACTTCCTACTTGTTAAATCGCGCTTGCGCACTTCCCAAAAGGGGTTATATTTTCGATTTATGTATTAAATTGATGTTTATAAAATTACCTATACTAGGATGTAAAAATCTATTATTAATTTTAATTATAACTGTTTAAAATTTAAAAAACTTTAGAAACGCATTTTATACCGATTTCTAGCCCAGTACGAACAAAGATTTTTATACGGTTTTGAAGCTTACAACAACAGCTATCAAATGACGTCAGTTTTGTACATGAACTCTTGACTGGGAAAGCCGCTGGAGCGTTTAAAATAACTAGGCCCTCTGAAAATCCCTGCAGCGATAGGCCGACGCGAAACGAAACAGCAAAAAGTGTGCCGTGCTTCGGCGGTCGTACGGAATGAATGGTACGTGATACAAGTAAAATAACAACATTAAATGAGAAAGGAGACATTTATCTTTCTTTTGATATACATTTTATTGAAAACAGTTAAGAATAATGGTAAGAAAAATAAAATTGAAAAAGAGCAATTTTCAATAATATAACCTCATTTCCAACAGTAAGCACGCGGCTGTTGTCATACCTACTATTAGTTTTCTCATTCCTGATGATGACCCAATAAAGGTCGAAACGTTGAATCATGGCCTCCCTCTCTTTATTCGGAGTAACGTTCATCTGTTGATACTCATTTAATTTGTTACAAAAAAAAAATTCTGAAAACAATTTCTATTTCATTTCAGAATTCAAACATGGCTGAACATCAGCAGCAATCAGTGGAAGATTCAAATAAATGTTCTATTTGCCTAGAAATTTGTCAAGAACTAAAAACATTAAATTGCCAACATGGCTTCTGCCTTCCTTGTCTTCAAAATTGGATAATGGAAAATGATGAACTGGAATGTCCAAACTGCCACCTATTGCATCTTTTTCCTGAGGGTGAACTTCAAGCATTACCGTCTAATACAATTGCAGTGGAAACATCAGAAAATATTGATGAAAGTCATGGTACCATTGAGTGTTGTTGTGGTAAATGCAATGCAGACTTCTACTGTAAGGATTGCAGTCAGTATTTGTGTACTTCTTGCAAAATTACTCACGAATTATTTCCTGCACTCAAGAACCATACACTACAGTCAATCAATGCTACGCTACTATCCACTGAAGCACTGCTCCAGCCAATGTGTCCACAGCATGAGAAAGAGTTGGAATTTTATTGCAAAATTTGTAAAACTCCAATTTGTCAAAAGTGTGCTAATACAGAGCACAGTGAAGATGATAAACAGCATGAGCCAATCAGAGCTTCTGATGCAATTAATGACCTCAAAGTAAAAGCAAATGCTTTGATGGTTCAGGCTGATGTCCACAAACAACAGGCACAAGTAGAAATACAAAAATGTATTAAAACTACTTCAGAGCTGGACAAGATTAGTAACAATATTTTGAAAGACATCAATAACACTGTAGAGGAAATCATGAAATTTGTCCAAGAAACAGTAACAACATTAGAAGAGAAGTTGAAAGATGTCTGTACGGCAAAAAAAGAGAAAATTAATTCTCAAATTGATGAACTCAAATCAACTATATCAGATGTTGAAGAAAAACAAGACAGCATTGCAAATTTATTGAAAAGTGGTGAAGTAACATCCCTCCAAACATGTGAGCAGGAAATTATAGACCTGCAAGAAAAGATTGATGATGTCTTTCCAGAGACAGAACCTAGAGGTGAGGGGAAGATCTACTTCTCTTCAACAAAAGACAGCATACTAAGTTTTTTAAGTAAATATGGAATAGGTAGTGTTAGTGAAAAGCCAATTTTTGAAATTATATCTGAAAATCGAGTGAAAGTGACATGTTGCCAAACATTTCGTATTGAAATAGCTCAAAGTATTAATTGTGAAGTAGATATCAAAGACCTGACACTGACAGGGACAAAAGAAACAAATGCGTATACAATGCAACCTGTACGTTTGGGCATGCCGACCGCTTACATTTATCAGGCAACAGAAAACTTACCCCGCAACAAAACCTATCTCACTCCCAGAATTATTAGAGATAAAGAAAAATATTTTGTGGAAGGATCTTCTGAAAAAGATTTGACAATAGATGTCAAGTTTCGTAATTCTTCCATTAAAGGATCTCCAATCCAAATAACTGTTGAAAAATCCAAATTAGTAAGAAATGTTGGTCTATGGATTATGGATTACAGAACAATCAGTGATTTAGTGATGTCTGAAAATGGTTGGTTTGTAGCTGTTTGTGACACACATGAGATATTTATGTTTGAAAAGTCAGGAGCATGTATCAGTACAGTAACATTATCAAACACATCAAAAGTTAACAAAGTATGTAAATTGAAAAACAACAACCTGATATTTTGTGACCAAGGTATTAGAAACATAACAATTGTTCAACAAAATGGTGAAATTGTCAAATCAATATCAACTGGTCTTACAAGCGAGAGTCTTCTAACTGGTATTGATGTGAATGAAGACTTAAACTTGGTGTATGTTGCTGATCAAAATCTAAATTGTGTGCAGGTATACAACATGGAGAGTAATCTTAAGATAAAGACCATTGGGTGTAGTATGGGTGGTCTAGGAGGGCAAATGAAAAGGCCTTCTGACATTGCCGTAACAAAAGAAGGGAATCTTATTGTCGCTGACACTCACAATCACAGAGTGCAATTATTTGGTTCTGATGGTCAATTTATTAAAGTTCTTATTGGAGGAGGGGATAAAGATGGTATGGTGATAAAGCCCTCTAGGGTAGGTGTTGATTACGATGAAAACATTATTGTAGGAAGTGAGGGAAAGGTACAGTTATTTGATAATTGTGGCAAGTTCATTAGAGTGATTCATCAAAATGAGAGAAAGCATTTTGCATTTTCAATCATCTCTCAGTATCCTCGAAGACTTGCATTATCAGAACTAAATTCAAAGGAGATCAGTGTAATTAATTATTGAAAAATAAATCCAAAATACAGTAGTATGAATCATCATAAAATTCTATCATGTGATAATATACAGTTAATGTTTCCATATTTTATCCTGTACTATAGTTTATCATTCCACAGTGAAACAAAATGTTATGTTGTGTACAATAATATAATAATAATAACAACTTTATTTTATAACGGTCAAAAAACTCGTTCACCCAAGTGGGTGTTCTTCCACGAGGCCGTATGGACATTAAACAAAATAATTGTGTTAGATTAAAATAATTAAGTGTTAGTACAAAGAAAAAACAAATATATATAATACATAATAATGGTTATTACATTACTATGTTTCTTTTAAAAAGTTCTAGTGTGCTTGAATTTTTTATATTGCTGTCTAAATTATTCCACAAAAGAGCCCCCCCGGTAACATAGACTTCTTTTTTTATATTCTGTTCTTGGCTTGGGTACGTTAAGGTTGTCATTTGACCTAGTGTTGTATTTACTTTCTCTTTGAATAAATCTATTTTTTAAATAATTAGGAGCTAAGTCATTCATTATTTTGTACATTGTGATATTTTCCTCTCCTAATCCATTTTGTTATTTCTGTGGTGAAAATGGACATATTTCTCGAAACTGTCGGCATGGTAAGCCTGTTACTTGTTGGAGCTGTAATCATCAAGGTCACAAAACTAAATTTTGCCAGGTTGCCCATCAATGAATAAGAGGCAAAGAAGACAAAGCCGAACAAAGTAATGATTATATAATACTACATTCAACAAAGGAAACTGTGAACAATAGAACCCACCAAGAAGAATTGATTGAATCAAATAAACAACTACAGACAGACGAAATCAGCCTTTTAAATGACTCAGAAAATTATAATGTTTTTACAGAAAACTGTTTAATGTTTGAAAAGAAATACATAAATATTGCAAGCTTAAACTTAGTTACTCTTCCGGGAAAATATGATGAATTTAAATTTTTACTTGAGAATAATAGACACCTTGATATTATATGTATTAATGAAACACGTTTAGATAATTCAGTTACTAACAATGCCGTAGCAGATTATCTTTGTAGTCATAAGGTACTTTAGTCAAAAAGGTGTGATACATAAATTATAGTATATATTATGATTATGATTATCTCTATTGATTTTAAATCACCTTTACATTTACATAGTAAAGAATGGTTTTAAAAGTTATTTTTTCAACCTCCTAACTAATTTACAAAATGCAATTTGTCATAGTCACCCTAGTCACCTATAATTTGGCTTCCCAAGTAAAGGGACGTCCTTCAACTCCTGATTTTTACCCACTACCATCGAAGGACCAGGTAATTTTTTTAACTGTATATGTAAATTCTATAAAATATCAACCACGCCTTGTTCCTCTTGATCTACTCTCCCTTCACAGTGACTTTCTGTACTTGACCAGACCCAAGCAAGTCTGCATCATATAGGTCATAAAATTTTCTTCAATACAATGAAGCAAAACTTTAAACAATCAAGCCACTAAAACTGGACATAACATATTTTAAGCAAGATAATTTGTGCTTTAACCTGTATCAGTTGATGATTGAGGATTTCCTCTCATTATGTTTAGATTTAGTTAAGTTTATAGCTTACAATCATTTATATATGGCGATGAAAAGAGTAACTAAAAAAATATATCTTAGGAAATTTCAAATTAATAATATAACAAAACTATGGAATTTCAGTACACATTTTATTGTTATTAACATTTAAAATATTGTATTATTGAAATGTTATATCATTCTTTGAATGTAATTGGTTTTTGAATGACTAGTCAACGATTGTGATTTTTTTGGTCAATTATATTAAACCTCATTATCATTTTTAATTATACAGTTCTTTAAAGGTAAACTATTCTAATAATAAAAATAATAAATGCTATCAGGTACCTCTTCATAGTAGCTTTTCCATAATTTACATTAAGTTAGTTTTAAGTTTAATATTTACCTTTAATTTATATTTGATGTGGTATTTGGTGCATCAATTTTAACTATAAGAAAAAGTTTAATAAAATAAATATTCATTCTCAGTGTTTCAAGGATTTGTTGATTAAATGTTACTATAAGTTACTACTAAGTTTATAGTTAACCTTTAGTTTGTATTTGATGTGGTATTTGGTGTAAGCTACTTTACAATCAAATTTTAAGGGAGGAAAAAAAATTTAATGAAATCAATATTCATTCAGAGCGTTACTATAAAATTAGGCTTTGTAACTTTCTCGTTTTAGTTTTAGTTTTATAAGCTTTCTGTAAAATGACATATATATACTTTGAATTGTTGTATAGCACTCTTTAAATTTCATTGGTTTTGAGTAACTATTCAACGATTGTGAAGTTTTTTTTAGTCAGTATATAATACTCATTATCATTAAAAATACAATAGCTTCATGGTAAACTTTCTAATATTAAAAAATCTTTTTTATAGCTTTTCCATAATTTAAGTTAACTTAAATTTTATAATTTTCCTTAATTTGTATTTGATGTGGTATTTGGTGTAAACTGTTTGCAATCTAACTTTAACTAAGGAAAAAAGTTGAGTGTTGCTTATATTTAAATTAGGCTGTGTCTTTTTTGCATTTTAAATTTTTAGTTTTATAAGTTAGTTTATAATGATGTACATCAAAGCCTTTTGTAAACCATCCACAGGTGAAAAAGAGTTAAATATATTATTATTATAATTATAATTTTCCAGCTCCCAAAAAAGTGCAGCAAAACAAAAGTTAGCTAGGCCTATTGCGTGAAAGACGCTGACAATTTCAGGCATCGCTGCCTGTAAACTGACACAGGTCCTTGGTACTGACCTTTTTGTGCTCTTGGGCATAGGATAATATTCTGAACCTGATCGACATGTTGCCGATTTTCAACAAAAAAATAATACTGCATGCAGTTCATTCGTTGAAAGAATTGATATTCTACTCAACTTTAATTTGGTGTAAAGCTAGTTTACAGCCAAATTTAAAGTAAGGAAAAATGTTTTAATGAAATTAATATTCATTCTGAGTGTTGCTATAAAATTAAATGTCAATTTAACATTTAAATTTTTTAGTTTTATATAATAATGTACCTCACAGCCTTTTGTAAGAACATCCCCAGGTTGAAAGTATATTAAATTAAAGATTATTATAGATTACACTGTAATACTTTTCCAGCTCCCAAATGACTAAATTCTTAGGTAAAGTGAAAAAAAAAATAAAGATATGCCCACAACTAAAAAGAACAATAACATCTCCTGGCTGACACAGAAGGCATAGAATGATTGTCCGAATCTGATCGAACATGTTGCCGAATAAAAAAAAAAAACTCTGCGTGCAGTGCACCGCAGAAGTATTTAAAAAAAACTAAATAATGGTTCTCATTATACAATGGGAAAAAAATACTTCATTTGGTGAAATATTGGATGAAGATTTGGTCCTATTCAACTCTCCAGCTTTGACTCATCAAACATAACATATAATCTTTTAACTCATGAAATATTCTATCCCATTTCACTCAAAAATTTGTATAATATTTTTACAGTTTGTATATACCTAAACAAAAAATATATAATAGAATTAATAACTTTGTGTTACTGTACTATTACTATAACTTCAATAAAAAAATACAACTTGGAAAAAAATATCTCCACACTAGAATGCATGAATAATATACATACTGTGTAGAAAGCCTTGTATCGGTTGGTAATCAAATTAATGTTACTATTAATATTCATGTATGTTCAGCTAGAGAATATCAATAAATGTTTGCTTTAGAAATTCTAATGTTTGTTTTCTTTTCATCATGCTTGCATGGGTATTGAACATATCAAGTATATATTTCAAATAATAATATGCCAATTGTACAATTAATACTTAAGGCCAACTCAGACAGCGTCGTACGACGCAGCCCGACGCGATTTCTTGTCGCGTCGGGTCTGTGTGAGTTAAACGCAGTCGCGTAGTAGAATATTAAACATGTTTAATATTTCTCATGACGGCTTAAGACTGTCCCCGACGATAAATCGGGTCGGGCTGCGTCGGCTGACGCTGTCTGAGTTGGCCTTTACGGTACATAATTCAAAATATGTATGAATGGAGGGGAGGCAATGGTTCTGCTGACCAAGTTTCAATGCAGTTGGTCCAATCATTTGTCACAAGCAATATATTTGAAAATTTTGACTCTAATGACTCTTGTGACTTTTGACCTGACTTTAATTTACACAAATATTATATTACAACATATTTACAATGTCACAAGTATCATCCATAATAAATTTAAGCAACATCAAAAAATATGAAAATGACTGACCTTTGACATATAAAATTTGACCTATAGGATGAAGAGTATGTATTTTTTTTTCATGTTTAGAAAGTCCTAGGGATCATTCCTGGTAAATTTGAGCTCAATTGGGCTATTTTGAAATTTTGACCTAGATGACCCTTACAGGAAACACTAATCCCAGACCGGGGTGTAGGTGTCACTGGTTCTTTATGATGAAACTAGATTTAAATCGTTTGCCATTACAGTATTATCATTTTAAACCTTTGACCTATATACTTTGACCTATGTGTTGAAGAGCATTTGTTCACAAGGCCTTAAAAATTGTTCCTGGTAAATTTGAGCTTAATTGGGCTATTTTCAACATTTGACCCCAATGACCCCTATGTGACCCTTGGGGATAGGAGGTGTCATGGTTCTTAATGACCAATCATTTGCCATTAGTTTAATTTTGAAATGTTACCAGACAGAACACACAACCATGTAAGGACCTTTGACCCTAAATTCCTGAACACCATTAAAGACCTTACCTTATGCCAATGCATATTTTCCCAGGATAAGACTGTGCTATGTTATTTGAAGAAGTCTTTATTATTTTTTAGATTTTTTACCCTAATGCCCCTATGTGACCTTTTATCCTAAGTGGTGAACATCTCCATGTATGGGAGGTGTCATCAGTTATACTGACCAGGTTTGGTTGAAATCAGCGAAATGGTTTGGCACTAGTAGCGTTCTGAAATTTTGCTAAACAAAAAGATAAAAATTACCCCTTAATGACCTTTGAACCCAAATTCCTGAATACCATATAGACCCTGCCTTATGTCAATACTTATGTGCAAAGGACAAGACTGTGCTATGTTGTTCGAGAGAAAAGCAGTCTTTTATACAATTTTTGGTTTTTTGACCCCTATGTGACATTTGACACCAAGTTATGAACACTCCATATATGGGAGGTGGCACCAGTCAAAGTACTCACCAAGTGTTAATAAAATCAGTCCAAGTAGCATTTTAAAATGTTGCCGGAGGAAGGAAGGAAGGCAGGAAGGAAGGAAGGAAGGAAGGAAGGAAGGAAGGAAGGAAGGAAGGAAGGAAGGAAGGAAAGTGGAATCTGCACTTAACAGAAGTCAGCATGCTGCTGACAGGGCACTAATCTTTATGATACAATATTAATTTATATCATTTTTATCACCAAACTATATTTGTTATATATAATAAAAAGTTATTAGGTAAAGCCTTCTTACATGACAGTTCTATACCAAGTATTTTTTTTTTTTTTTATCTAGGCATGGATTACAGTACATTGAATTTATCACTTAAAACTGAGGGCGACAAACATAGCTTAGCAAGAGTGAATTTACATTTTAATGAAAGCACATACCCTTTGTAAGTTCTAAAAGATCATAATTTTAAAAAATACATTACATATTGAGAAAGAATTATAAATTAGGAGAATCTTTGAGAAATTAGGAGAAATTCCCAACACTGGAGGTTTATCGTATAATTTAGAAGCTGTGGCAAATTATATACTACTGTACAAATAAAACCATATTTGAAAAACAAAATGAGATCTATAGTTACAAATGTTATGGATAGAAACAAAAATATTATTCTAGGCTCAAAGGTTATTCTAGAATTTTCAAAGTGGAATGATCCATGCATATGTATTTCTGGTGGTCCAATCAGCAGCACTACACATAGAGTAAATAAAGGTGTGATGTCCAACCGAAACAGTCATGGTATTTACCAGCACTAACGCACTACTACAGTATTCTGGTCCTACTAACGTTTTGGATATTAAAAAGAATCTATGTAAGTTATAATATACCATATATTAACTCAACATCACTTTACTTTCGTAAATGCAGTACCGTACTCGCACGAATAAGCACCCGGGTGCTTAAAGTATTTTTTGCACTTTTTGAGGGGTGCTTATTCAAACGGGGCGCTTATCAAGACAGAGTGGAAGTTGAGGAGGCACTTATGGAACAAAATGAAAATCGAAGGGTTCTTATGAGAACTTATTAAATTCAAGAGGCACATTTTTAATGAAAAACGATTAGGACATCAGGAAACCGCAAATTACGAATGGTGGTGCGGCAGAAAAGATAATCATCCAGAGAGCATGGCTTGTCATGACAAGAATGTTGTGTGTACAATATTACCTAAACAGAATAGCAGATAAAATTAGTGGTGGTGGTGAGCTTGTTGGTCATCGGTCGATTGAGATTAGCAGGATGGCATGATCACTGCAGGTTTTCCTGAAAACGCTAATGAGAATGTGTTAGGTGCAAATTGTCAGAAAAGCAGTATGATTAGGCTATAGAAAAATGTAAGACGATGAAAGTTGGAAATATACTGTCTGTCCAGGGAGCTCTCATCTGTCCATGATAAATATCCTCATTTGGATATTGACTAAAGGAGAATGTGATTCCACTCTACACCTCAAATCATGCCAACACCCACAGTCTAGGATTGATTGAATTATTGAGAGGGCATTTATTCAAATTAGAAGGGGGCGCTTATTCAAACGGAGCGCTTAAGTAAATTTTCACATTATTCGAGAGAGAGGGGCATTTATTTAAAAATTGTGCTTATTCGCACGAGTACGGTAGATGCTATTATTAGTAGATACTAAGGGTCTGTTCTAGCGAAAAAATATCCGTGTGCTTTTGCAGTGAATTTACCAGTACATACTTTCTAAATCTAACCTAATTACCTTACAATCTGGATTATCCGGAAAAATTTTGACCACCAAATTGCTGGGTCACAGAATTCCATGGAGCCGGAGGCGACAATAAGTCAACCTTAATTGTTTTCCCAAATCTTTTGTCCACAGTTCAGCGCGCTGAATTCAACAGGATTACAGCCCAGGGCTGGCTAGACCCGCTGTCATTGTGATCTTCTTCGCCTCCTAACATGCATGACGAAATCAACAATGGCTTTAGTAGTAGTAGCATTTAGCTACATGTTCATTTGTTGATTTACCATTATTCCGAAAAACAATCTTGAATAAACCACCATGTACGTGCAGATTTTAAAGCACCATGCAATTATAAACTATTTAGCTTGAATCTCATTCTCGCGTGCCACGCTGTGGGTACAGCAGCTAGAATAGGTTGATGGGATAAGTGTTTCTCATTTGCATTTGATCACATAAAATTTTCCTTAGAGTAGTTTTGATACACGGTATTTAACGCGAGCTAAAACTTGCACGAACAGTCGACCATTCGCTGAGTACTCAGTGCGATTAACCTGTGAATTTAACGGAATACGGTTGGCATTTTTTGCTTGAACGAGCCATATGCTTAATTCTTTGATGGGCTGATTTAATTTAAATAGACCAGCCTTGTATGTATTACCTGATATGTCTATCAATCTTAACTTAAAAAACAAACAGCGATATGGAGGTGGAAATTACCGTAAACACTAGGAAATTTTAAAATGGATGTATGCTTGATATTAAGGAGAATTGAAAGAAAACGTTTTTTTAGTGAATGGAGTAATGAATTTCACAAAATCAAGCAAAACATATATAATATGTATTATACAATTTCAAACTAAAAATAATCATTACCTTCACTAATTTACAAAAACTATTTTGCACATTAAATCACAAGGAAATTATTATTATTACCTTATTTCTACTTAAGAACTTTAAAACAATTAACCACAAAATTGCACAATCGTATACAAAAAGAAATGTGTTTTAATATTTATTAAATAAACAAAAAAGTATTATAATCTATGTTTGTTTTTACAACATTAAACAGCATGTAGATTACAATTCAAGGACTTTTTTATGTAGATAATGAATTATGACCTTTAATTGACCTTGAAAGCTATGCATAAATGAACTTGAAATGTATGCATAAAGTAAGTTTGTAATCTAGAAAAGATCTAACTTACCTAGCTCAACTATAGAAAGTTTATATATTCAGATACTTATTGCAATAAATTCTTTTAATTTTTCAGAATTCCAATATGGCTGAAAATGAGCTGCATGAATTGTTAGAAGATACAAGTAAATGTTCAATTTGCCTAGAAATTTGTCAAGAACTATAAACATTAAATTGCCAACATAGCTTCTGCCTTCTTTGTCTTCAAAATTGGATGAAAAAAAAGGGTAAACTGGAATGTCCAAACTGCCGCCAATCACATCCTATTCCAGAGGGCGGGCTTCAAACACTGCCATCGTATGCAATGGAATTTAAAACAGCTAGACACTTGGACAGACTCTCTAATAACATCAAGTGCTATTGTGGTAAATACAACGCAGATTTCTACTGTAAGGATTGTAGTCAGTATTTGTGTACTTCTTGCACAAATACTCATGACCAAATTCTTGCACTCAAGAACCATACCCCCCAACCAATCAAAGCTAGGTCACCTTCCACAGAAATACCTCACAACAATTTATGCCCACTACATGAGAAAGAGTTGGAATTTTATTGCAAAGTTTGTAAAACTCCAATTTGCCAAAAGTGTGCTATTATAGATCACAGTGAATATGATGGACAGCATCAGCCAATCAGAGCTTCTGATGCATTCAATGATCTCAGAATAACAGCAAATGCCTTGACGGCTCAAGCTGATTTCCACAAATACCTGGCACAAGCAGGAATAAGCAAATGCATTGCAAATGCCTCTGAGCTTAGTAAAAGAAGAAATGATATTATGAAAAACATCAACAAAACTGCTGAAGAAATGATAAAATTGGTCAGGGAAACAGAAATTTCACTGGTAGCAAAGTTGGAAGATATCTGTAAAGCAAAGAACAGGAAGGGTAATTCTCAAATTGATGAACTCAAATCAATTATATCAGATATTGAAGGAAAACAAAGTTACATTGCAACATTACTGAAAAGTGGTAATGCAACAGCTCTTAATACATGTCAACAAGTAATTAGGGAGCTACAAGACAATGTTGGTGTCCCACCAGAGACAGAACCCAGAGATGATGGGAAGGTTTACTTTTCTCCAACAAAAGACCACATACCAGTGTTGACTTCTCTGAAGAAACTGGGAATAGGTCATGTTAGTGAAAAGCCAAATGAAAATATCTTCAAAATTGTGCCTGAAAATCCAATGACTGTGACATGCTACCAACCTTTTCATGTTGAAATAGCACAAAAATATGAATGCGAAATAGATATGAATGACCTGACAATATCAAAATCGGAAATGGCAGCTTCATGCACTTCATCAAAAAACACTCCAACTTTCAGAATTGTCAAATCGGAGGGTAAATATCTTATTAAAGGAACTACAACTACAGATGTGACATTGGATGTTAAGTTTCATAATTCTTCAATAAAAGGATCTCCAATTAAAATCATTGTTAAACCTGTTGAAATTGTAAGGTCTATTAGAAATGTTGGCGAATCTACCGCAGGGCTCGATTTAGTACTAGCCCGGCGTACAATGTCTAGTAAAAACCGTTCCGGGCTAGCCTATTTACTCCTCATGTTGCCCGGTTGTCTAGTGGAGAATTAGCAAGAAAAACATTTTCTTAAAAAAAAAAAAAAAAAAAAAAAAAAAAAAAAAAAAACGGAACTTTCGAGACAATCCCTGCACATGAGGTACCGCAGCCCAGAGAGTACACTCTAGCTAGCTTTCAGCTCTCCACATGCGTGAGTGTTTAATTATTTAGATGATCCCCAAGTCATTCACCAACTACTACAGGATGGCATGTTATCTTTCTCTCAATAGAAGATCGTTTGATCTGGTTAATTTAGGTAGTTAGAACATTTAAATTAATGTACTACCTTATTCATATTATTTTCTCATAATGATATTTTTAAAATGTCCAACTTTTAATAATAAGTACTTCAATGCTATAGGTAGGCTAGGCTAGACTAGGCCCTAGGTCTTGTCTAGGCCTAGGTAGCCTAAGCAAGATTTATTGCCATTGGGAGTGAGTGTTTGAGACCTAAAGATTTAACCATGGAGGTATAATACAGACGAATTGGTTTGATTGATTTCTGGGTCCTTTGTTAAATATTAGAAAGCCAAAGTTATAACCAGGGAGATGTAAAACATGCTCATCAGTCCCTGTTATAACCAAAGTCGATTTTGCAGCATGGGTGATTTTTTTATTTATTTATTCAACAATATTTTGAGAGGGTAGCTCAAACAGCAATGCTACAGAAATTATTAAATTGCAATTAATCAACCTTCAAATTTAATTGTCGCTAATAAATATTTTAAAACAAAATTTTTTCCTGTCTGTGGGCTAGTAAAGTATTCTGTGGGCTAGTAAAATCTCTAGTAAACTAGCCCAGTGGGCTAGTTACCAAAAAAAGTTAGGGCAAGCCCTGTACCGGTATTATGGGTAATGGAGGTATCCAAGATCTAGTGATGTCTGAAAATGGATGGTTTTTAGTTGCTTGTAACAAACGCGAAATATTCAAGTTTGAAGATTCAGGAGCATTTGTTAGTAAAATAAAATTACCCCTATTATTATCCAAGGTTAAAAGAATATGCAAAATGAAAAACAACAATGTAATATGTTGTGACTGGTTTAAGAAAAAGATAACATTTTGCAAAGATAATGGTCAGGAGATCAAATCAATATTTACTGGTCTTGAGGTCACAAGTTTACCATCTGGTATTAGTGTAGATGAAGACCTTAATGTGGTGTATGTATCTGATGAGATAGCAAATTGTGTAGTGTTTATAACATGGAGAGCTATGTTAAGGTTAAAACCATTGGATCTAAAGGCAGTCTTGAAGGACAAATGAAAAGTCCTTCTGATGTTGCTGTCACAAAAAATGGGAATCTTCTTGTGGCTGACACTCAAAATCACAGAGTGCAATTATTTGGTTCTAATGGTCAATTCATTAAAATTCTTATCGGTGGAGGGGATGGGGATGGTATGGTAAGGTAATAAGGCCCTCCAGAATAGGTGTTGATAATTATAACAACATTATTGTAGGAAGTGAAGGCAAAGTGCAATTATTTGATATTCATGGCAAGTTCCATAGAGTGATTCATCAAATTCAAAAAGAGACACAATTTGCATTTTCAATTGTTTCTCAGTTTTCTCGAAGACTTGCATTAGCTCAATTAAAATCAAAAGAGATCAGCATAATTAATTATTAGAAATTCAAATGATAATGTTTACAGTACACAGGCACTACAAAGCCATAAATGGATGAACTTAGACCAAAGACTACTCTTAAGTGAAGACATCACTATGTTTCCTTCCTATTTATGTAACAGATTTTTATTCAAGATAATTATTAAAATATTAGAAGCAAACCAAAATTATTATCATATGGGACTTGTCATATAGAGGTGCACAAATCTGGAATGAAATTAGTAAAGACCTAAAAAATGTTTATAATGAAATTTATACAAAAAAATGTTTATTTCTACCATGTAAACACCTACCATTTGTTCATCCACTGTGATATTGTATTTCTGTTTACTATGTTTGTTAGGTAATGATTTAGATTTTAAGTTTAGTTATTAATTTTAGACTAGTATTAAAAGCAAGTATCTTTTTGGGAACTTTTTCTTTTAACACGTTATATTTTCATTGCGGATTTTTTGGGCTCAGTACGGACTCCAAAGGTATGCATTTTTTTTTAGTTTTCTTAGTGTATGCGGATTTTATAAGTCCGCAATGACGATATAACTTGTTTTTTATTATGTAGATGAGTGGCAGACATTTTGTAACTTAGATGTTTCATGACACTCTGCTGTGGGTGTTTTCCACCCTCTGCATTTTGTAATCAAATCATTTGGTTTCAAGTGTCCAGGTTGCAGGATATCTGTGGTCTAGTTGTGGGGGGGGGGGGGGTGAGGACTGGGTTTCTGGAGCATTCTGGTTGCAAGGTGTCGAAATTTACATAAATAAGAATTACTTTGTATTCATGTATTTTATGTTTCTTTAAGTTACAGAGTTTTTAGGTTAATGGCAGACTTATGTATTATTTTTTAGTTGCTTTCCAATTTTTTTATTTTGATTTTTTAATATTTTGGTTCTTTACTACATGGACTTGTAGAAGAACTGTTATTGAAACATTTTTTGCCATGTTTGAATAAAGCTTATTGCTGCGAAGCAGCCAATTCATATTCTTGACAGCAATTTGACCTCTGAATGAAAGGTCATTATTTGTCAAAAAACGAGTGCCTAAGACGACTGAAAAGCGGAGTTTCCTTCTTTCGTTCTGCCGGGTAAAATCAATTACTTTAGGCGACGTTTGTAGACTAACCTACTCGTACCAACGTCCGCATGTTGCGCTAGCCTTATCCTACTCTAGGCCTAGACTAGCTAGGATGGTATAGGCCTAGCCTTAAAGGGACGAAGAAGGTCCCAATGAAAAACAACGTCACTCTTTGATAGCTAACATTGTCTATTTAACATCACAATAATTCATTATTAGACCTATAGTTGTTTTTTTAATTGTACTCCACAAATCTCAGCCGATACCTCGCACAACTGGCTAACGTCTCTATCTATTGT